CGCTGTGTCCGGTTCTTCGCCGCTCATTTTTGGGTTGTGGGGGTGAGATTTGTGACGGTTTGCTTGGGTTTTGCAGTTGTTCCATGAGTCCTTCGACGAGGGCTTCCAAGGGAGCTGGATCGTCTCCGGCAAGGAAGAGTACACAGGTAAATTCCGTCTCTCTCTCTCCCTCTCTCTCCCCTTTTGTGCTTGTCTTGTCCAATCTGTGAGAGATGCATGGATGTAGTGGAGTTCTGAATCTGATGTGGTGAACTGGTGATACGCTTCTATGTGGAATTCAATTCTAGTGTGTAGGCGAGGTAGTGATGATAAATTAACCTTCGTGGCATGATTTAGACCATTAGAGAGAGTCCAACATTTACCATGGTAGGCAGCAGCCATGATCCATGTTAGGATGTTTTTGTAGGGATACATTGTTGTGTACTTATTGAGAATGATTGCAATGCCTTGGTTTTTTTCTACATATAGAATACAATTTTCAGTCACTGGAGAAACTTCATAAGATTATGTGTGTTGTTCACCTACAATTTTGTTTAACTGTTCATGATTAAAATTCAGTGGCTCCTCTTCTTTATACACGTGAATGTGTAGTTCACCTACAATTTTGTGTGCTGCTCACACTGAGAGTTCGCAAACGAGTTTTTATCTCCCCAAATAGGTCGCAGAAGTGTGTGCTGATTGCCATTACAGGCTTAATTTGCCGATGGCCTATCTTTTGTCTAGTGCATTAGAGGCATGTCCTCACTAAGAACTGAAATAGTGAACTGAAGGTTCACGTGCCACGTGCCGCCATAGCATACTTCTCACACCACGCCAACCTGTGACTTCACAACATAGTGGCGAGGTACTTTGTATCTACAAAATCTGGGCGTGGTCTTTTTTCCAGACCAACTAAATATACGCTTTAGTTCAAGGACAGGTCTGAAAATGGTCATCAAGTTTAGACACTCTCAGTGCATCTGATGAAACGAGAGTTAAGAAGTGGCCCTGCAAAATATTTATTTTTCTCAACAAAAAAAGAATTAATTAAGAAGTGAAATGATTTAGGGCTTCTTTGGACACAAAGAAATTTCTGTATGTTGAAAAACGCCGCAGGACTTGGTCAGTGCATGCCAGGTCTCTCCTTGATTAGTACGCTATGCCCAATCTGTTGTTCAAGTTCGGGCTAGTTGAATATTAGATTCAGACAATGAAGTGCTTTTTTTACTGCCAGAATATGTGATAAAGCAACAAAAAAGGCAACCACATACAAAGGATCCTGCGCATGGAATGGATCCTGTTGGGTGCTAATTCTAGTTATTTTATATGAAGAAACACTTACCGTGCAGCCATCTAATATGAAATTCTAATAATATGTGATGCCTGCTTGTTTTTTAGTTGTATATGCCATTCGTGCATGCATTCCTTTTCTTATGTACCAACTCCCTAATCATGTTTTGTGTTTTCAGTTCGCTATCTTAGGAGAACCTGGTGTGCTATATGGGGAAGCAAAGCAGCAGCCCACAACTCCGACTTGCCACTACTAGGGAAAACCTTATACACAGAAGTTTATTAGTAGCGCGGTTTAAAAACGGGCGCTACTGCTAATTAGTAGTAGCGAGGGGTACAAAAACCGCGCTACTACTAAGTTGATAGTAGTAGCGAGGGGTATAAACCCACGCTGCTACTAAATGGTCTCCAATAATGCCCCCGGGATAGGCCATAGTAGTAGCGAGGGGTATAAAACCGGCGCTACTACTAAGTAAGTAGTAGTAGCGCAGGTAAGACCCCCACGCTACTACTATGCGTGTCCACCCGGCCCGATCCACACTCCGTCCCACCCCACCACCAGCTCCCACCAACCGTCCCACACCACCCACT